CATGGCATAATACACAGCATGCCTGTAGAGCCCCGGCCTCCCAGTAATCTGCTCAGTTTCTCAGATTTCCCAGATCTTTGGGCGGTCCTTGTAGTGTTGAAAGGCAAACTGTTGTTTTCTCGCCTTCTCTTCCTCCCTGCCTTTCCCATCCCCCGTCTTCCAAGCCTACACGCCTTCTTCATGTCAGTGATGTATCACGTGGTCTCTGCAGGGAATGTAATGCTGGCTATACCATGCCTTTTCCATGTAGGTCGTTTTTTTTTTACAGTTTTTTTTTTTTTTTTTTCGTGTCTAGCTTACCTTTGTATTGTCCTTGTAGCTTTATGACAAGATATGTTTTGTATGATGTATACAGATTGTGTCACTGTGTGTGTTTCTACAAACATTCGAAAAACTTTGAAGAAAAAGATATTCAACACAAAAATTAAACAGCAGGTGGTACTGAACACAACCCATTCAAGTGAATGGGGCTGTGTCCCAACCACCCTGCAATCACAGGCAATACACGTTGTGGGTCAGAATTTTAGGGGTCTCTGAAAAGCTACAATATATATGTAAAGTGCTGCGTAAATTGACGGCGCTATACAAGTACCTGTAATAAATAAATAAAAAGCGATTCACTGTGGATCACTCTTTAGAGGAGCAGCAAGCACTGCTGTACATGTAAATGACCTAATACTTGAGTCTGCATCATATACATTTTCTAAATAAATGAGTGAAGCTTAAAGTAGGATTATAGGCAACACTTTTTATTTTGTTTTGGATACAGTAAGAGAGGGTTATAACCCATCATATTTATTATTTTTTTTTTTTTTTTGCCATCTGTGTCTCATTGTGGAGATTTACCTTCACTTCCTGTCCCATAGCCAAACAGGAAGCAAATTAAAGGAATCCCTTGGAGACCCCCCCATTGAAAGATATCCCCTGTATTATTTTTCTAGGGTCAACCCAAAATTTGGGATTTTCTTTAACTTTCAATGATAATGGTACAGACAGCAATAAAAACTTGATAGGGGTGCTAATCCATCTCCACTCTGTCTGAAATAAAAAAAAATAAAAAAAAAAGTTTTGCCTTTTAGTTATACCTGCCTACCTAAAGCATAACACATGTACACTAACATAAGTACATAACACATGTACACAACATAACATAACATAACATACACAACATAACACATGTACACAACATAACATAACACATGTACACATAACATAACATAACATGTACACAACATAACAAACATACACATAACATAACACATGTACACAACATAACATAACACATAACACAATGTACACAACATAACATAACACATGTACACAACATAACAACAACATAACATAACACACATGTACACAACATAAACATAACACATGAACAAACATAACATAACATGTACACAACATAACATAACACATGTACACACAACATAACATAACACATGTACACAACATAACATAACACATGTACACACAACATAACATAACACATGTAACATAACATGACACAACATAACATAACACATGTACACAACATAACATAACACACATGTACACAACATAACACATGAACACAACATAACACATGTAACATAACAACACAACATAACATAACACATGTACACAACATAACATAACACATGTAACACAACATAACATAACATAACAACATAACATAACACACATGTACACAACATAACATAACACATGTACACAACATAACATAACACATGAACACAACATAACATAACACATAACACATGAACATAAAAAACATACACAACATAACACAACACATGAACACACACATAACATAACACATGTACACAACATAACATAACACATAACACATGAACACAACATAACATAACACATGAACACAACATAACACATGTACACAACATAACATAACACATGAACCAACAAACATAACACAACATGCTAACACATGTACACAATAACATAACACATGACACAACATAACATAACACATGTAACACAACATAACACACATACACATGTACAACAACATTGCACAGAACAAACATAACACATGTAACACATCATGAACAACCCTTGGTACACGATAACATATGTGGACATAACATTTGCATGTACACGACATTGGGAACACATAAAATGTGAACACAACATAACTGAACATGTCATCTAAGTCACAACAAACATAACATAACACATGCACACGACATAACACAGTACACGACATGAACATATAATACTTTACACATACACATTAGGGATGTTGCATGAGTTGGGCGGTTTGAACGTTGCACATAGAAGAACACAGTGTAAACATTACACACAAACATTAGATGTTGCCATGGTTTAATTGCACAGGTGCAGGAGGAAAAAGTGTGAACCTTTGGACTTAATAACTGGTTGACCCTCCTTTGGCAGCAATAACCTCAACCAAACGTTCCTGTAGTTGCAGATCAGACCTGCACAACGATCTGGAGTCATTTTGGACCACTCCTCTTCACAAAACTGTTTCAGTGTAGCAATATTCTTGGGATGTCTGGTGTGAATCGCCCTCTTAAGGTCATGCCACAGCATTTCAATCGGGTTGAGGTCAGGACTCTGACTGGGCCACTCCAGAAGGCGTATTCTGTGCTGTTGCGGCCATTGTTTTGTTGAATTACTTGTATGCTTTGGGTCATTGTCCTGTTGCATCACCCATCCTCTGCGGAGCTTCAGTTGGCGGACAGATGGTTGTATTTTTCCTGCAAAATGTCTTGATAAACTCTGGAATTCATTTTCCCATCAATGACAACAATCCGTCCAGGCCCTGAGGCAGCAAAGCAGCCCCAAACCATGATGCTCCCTCCTCCATGTTTCACAGTGGGGATGAGGTTTTGATGTTGGTGTGCTGTGCCTTTTTTTCTCCACACATAGTGTTGTGTGTTTCTTCCCAAACAACTCAATCTTGGTTTCATCTGTCCACAGTATATTTTGCCAGTAGTGCTGTGGAACATCCAGGTGCTCTTTTGCAAACTTCAAACGTGCTTCAATATTCTTTTTGGACAGCAATGGCTTCCTCCGTGGTGTCCTCCCATGTACTCCATTCTTGTTTAATGTTTTCTTTATTGTAGATGTGTCAACAAAAATGTTAGCATGTGCCAGAGATTTCTGTAGGTCTTTAGCTGACACTCTGGGATTCTTCTTTACCTCATGCAGCATTCTGCGCTGTGCTCTTGCAGTCATTTTTACAGGATGACCCCGCCTAGGGAGAGTAGCAACAGTGCTAAACTTTCTCCATTTGTAGACAGTCTGTCTTACCGTGGACACATGAACATCAAGGCTTTTGGAGATACTTTTGTAACCCTTTCCAGCTTCATGCAAGTCAACAATTCTTGATCGTAGGTCTTCTGAGAGCTCTTTTCTGCGTGGCATGGTTCACATCAGACAGTGCTTCTTGAAACCAGTAAACCCAAAACAGGTGTGTGTTTTTTAAGGGCAGGACAGCTGTCAGCAACACATCCAATATCATCACACCTGATTGGAGTCAAGGTTGGCTCACTCCTGGCTCCAATTAGCTCTGGGAGAAGTCATTAAGCTAGGGCCTCACATACTTTTTCCTCAATGCACTGTGAATGTTTACATGTTATGTGCAATTAAACCATGGCAACATCTAATGTTTGTGTAGTATTATGTTCAGCAGACTGTGTTCTTCTATTGTTGTGACTTAGATGACGTTCAGAGCACATTTTATGCCCAATTCATGCAAAACTCCACGTAATCCCAAGGGGTTCACATACTTTTTCTTGCAACTGTAACCATAGCAATAGTGTTTGTTCCCCCCACCCAATATAAAGCGCCATGTGCAAGTAACAATGACAAGCAATATATGTACTTTTTTTTTTTTCCCATAATAAAATAGCAAAAAAGGTAAAAGAAACTAGCATTTAAAAATATGAGAAGTTATACTCTTCAGTGAACCTTGTCCAGATTTGTAGGTATGAGAAAGATGTAAGGGTCATGGATGCCTAGGAAAATATAGTGGGCAGCACAGTGGCTAAATGGTTAGCACCTCCACCTGGCAGTACTAGGGTCGTTGGTTCAAATCCCAACCATGGCACCACCTGCCTGGAGTTTGCATGTACAAACCCTGTGCCTGTGTGGGTTTCCTCTGGGTACTCCAGTTTCCTCCCACACTCCAAAGACATGCTGGTAGGTTAATTGGATCCTGTCTAAATTGTCCCTAGTATGTGTATGTATGAATGTGAGTTAGGGACCTTAGATTGTACGCCCCTTGAGGGTTAGGGACTGATGTGAATGTACAATATATATGTAAAGCTCTGCGTAAATTGATAGCGCTATATAGGCACCTGAAATAAATAAATAAAAAAATATAGTATGTGACTTGGATTGACCAATCTTCATATAGTAAGCAGTGTGTTGTTCTTTTTTTTTTTCTTTGTTTTTTTTTTTTTTTTTCGTTTTTTAGCAACCCATAGAGGTAAAAATAACCCAATATAAAGAAAAGAAATTATAAAAAGAAAAAAAGAAAAAGAAAAAAAAAATCGTATACATAAAGATTATATAAAAAAAAAAACACAGAAAAGTGAAATAAAAAAGTTACAAAATTGTATGTATGTGTGTGTATATATATATATATATATATATATATATATATATATATGTGTATGTGTGTGTGTGTATATATATATATATATATATATATATATAGATAAAGATTATATTAAAAAAACACAGAAAAGTCAAATAAAAAAAGTTACAAAATTGTATGTGTGTGTATGTATGTATGTATGTATGTATGTATGTATGTGTGTATATATATATATATATATATAATAATGTGTGTGTGTGTATATATATATATAAAGATTATATAAAAAAAAATACAAAAAAAAGTGCAATATAAAAAGCTACAAAATTTTGTTTGTGTATACCGTACACACATTATATCATTATATATACATCTTTATTAATACGGTATATTTTCTATTCTATATTTTACAGAGGGAATGTATTTCAGTCCACGTTGGCCAGGCCGGAGTGCAGATGGGCAATGCCTGCTGGGAGCTGTACTGCCTGGAACATGGCATCCAGCCGGACGGACAGATGCCCAGCGACAAGACCATCGGAGGAGGAGACGATTCCTTCACTACGTTCTTCAGTGAGACCGGGGCTGGAAAACATGTTCCCCGCGCTGTCTTTGTGGACCTGGAGCCCACTGTGATTGGTGCGTATGCCATTTATTCTATGTTGCTGGAACATTCTGCTTCTTCTATTACCCCCTTTGTTTTGGCCAACATACTCCAACATGGCGCTTACATGGGGTGAATTCCTCTCCATCCTGTCACACCCATAGGGTGTCAACTGAACTGGAAGTTTGGTATAATACCCCAGCAGGGACACTGACATCAATAATTTCCACCTAATAGGTTGCACATCATGAGCAGCTCTTAACTGCCAGAAAAGAGGCTTTAAATTGTTCGTGAATTTCCGTCTGCCCTTCTCTATCCTGCAAAGGGATCCTGTTGTGAGTTTTTCCCAGCAACAGGTCTGCGAATGCGACATCAGCTTTAAGTAGGAGTACAGGTTCCCATTAAACGTCGTCTACAGAAATGTCTTTTGTTATCAGGGCACACTTAATGAGCATGTTATAATTTAATATTTGGATTGCATTATTTTTTTGCACCCCATTGTGCAGCAGAAAGAAGCCAGGGCGATCCCTGTTATTATTGTGCCAAGTAAATTACAACGCCATCACTGAAGACAACCCAGGCAAAAGTACAATAAAAACAAGAAAGGAGTATGACTCATATGTAGCAGCACAGCATGTAAAAAAGTAACTTCATCTATTGAACCGCAAGACTTTGTACTCATTGTGTAGGTGTCACTGCAAATCTGCATTTTCCAGTTTTTCAGTATACAGTACACTGTGCACCCTTGTGTGATTATAACCTCATTCTTCTAAATTCCAGATGAGGTGCGGGCTGGTACATACAAACAACTCTTCCATCCAGAACAGCTGATCAGTGGCAAAGAGGACGCTGCCAATAATTATGCCCGAGGTCATTACACCATTGGCAAGGAGATCATTGACCCTGTCCTGGACAGAATCCGCAAGCTGGTATGTCATTTTGATAATTATTTTTTTTATGTACCCTGCAATTTTAGTCTGGATTATTTTAGTCTGTTGTGGGTGTCAAAAGTATCCAACATTTTAAAGTGACGTTGACCTGGCCTAAAATGTTTCCAAGATTGATTGTAGGCACCACGTGGTGTCTTCAGGCCTTGCAATGTACACGTGGTCTGAACGTATGCCTATGCCTAGATTGAGGCCACCAGCCCCTAGAGCTGAACTCCACATCTATTATTTAGCTGTCAAATATCAGAACCTCTGCAGACAACAGAGACCTCCCATGTAAAAGATAAACAACAGAAGATGGGGCTTAATCTCACCTTGGGCAGAAGTCAAGGCCCCATGTACAACCTGGTCCATGTACAACCTGGTCCTACATTTCACAGGGATCTTCAGGAACACAGTAAGTGATAGACATGTGCGTTTTCCTTTTGGTACGATTCGTTTTTCGGATGAAAATTGCATTTTTGAAGATTCGTATAGGAATCTCCGAATGGACATAGTAACAAATGTCAACGAACCTGAAAAAAAAAAATTTAACAACATTTTAAAAAAAGCATTTGTTTCATTCGAATGAGGTCACATTATGCGATAGTAGTTTGAGCCATGTAACTCCTGTGCGCATGTATGGGAGCAACCTCACCCGCAGCCCGACCATTGAAGTGACTGAGGATCAGCAACCAGGAAGGAACACCAGGCAAAAGATGAAAGCCACTGGAGACCAGGGAGAGCTGTTTTAACACGGAACTGGAGGGCTCCGTCTGCAGGTAAGTCTGTGATAATGTACTAGTAGGTAGTGCATGCTAGTACATTATGACCTAAGCAGGGGCGGACTGACAACTCATAGGGCCTCCGGGCAATAGGGGATCATGGGGCCCCTGTGTCCTTGCCCAAACTCAAAAAAGCCTATGAAAAGGGTACCAGGGGCATCTCATGGGGCCCCCTACTGACCCCAAGCTCTCGGACAGTGCCCGAGTTTCCAAATGGTCAGTCCGCCCCTGGTTTGAGCCCATGGGGAAATTAGTTAAATTTTCAAAAGTGTTTGATCATGCAAGATTCGGATCACGAATGGATCCAAATTTCGTTCCATTTGTCAATTCGGATGCACATGACACCAGTCGCTATTGTCCAATGCCAGTTCCCTTGGTGGGTTGGACTAGCGTCCGAAGATGTTGAATCCTTCCAATTCAAATTTGTCCTATTCAATAATACAGTATATCGAATATATAGCAATCTTCCGGGAAATACGAAACATTTTTCAAATTCACCTGAACCAACGAATATACGAAAACGATGCCAAAGATGAGAAACAAATCCCCAAAAGGAATCGGGTCAACATAACGAATATGATGAAACGAAATTCTTCAACGAATGAATGCATCCGAGATGAAATAAAAATTTCCAGCATGCACATATCTAGTAAGTGGTTAGAAAACCAATGTAGGTCTTTTAAACCACAACAAGGTGCCTAGACTTCAGCTTTTTGTTAACTTAGAAACATTTTAGGCCAAGTCAAGTCAATTTTACTTTAACAAGTAAACTGCTGTTAAATGGTAAATCTGACAAAATATCACTCACATAACTTATTTTAATAATGATTTGTTACTGAACGATGAATTCCTGCTGACACCAGTCTGACAACAAAAAGTTGTGAAACCAACGTGAAAGTTTGGTAACTTTTTGGTGGAAAGAAAATGTTCTTATTGGGTTTGTTTTGGTATGTATTTCAGGCGGATCAATGCACGGGTTTGCAAGGATTCTTGGTCTTCCACAGTTTTGGTGGTGGCACTGGCTCTGGTTTCACTTCCCTCTTGATGGAACGTCTGTCTGTTGACTACGGAAAGAAGTCCAAGTTGGAGTTCTCTATCTACCCAGCTCCACAGGTTTCCCACAGCTGTGGTTGAGCCCTACAACTCCATCCTAACCACCCACACTACCCTGGAGCACTCAGACTGTGCCTTCATGGTGGACAATGAAGCCATTTATGACATCTGCCGCAGAAACCTGGACATTGAGCGCCCAACCTATACTAACCTGAACCGTTTGATCAGTCAGATTGTGTCCTCTATCACTGCCTCCCTCAGGTTTGATGGAGCTCTGAATGTGGATTTGACTGAGTTCCAGACCAATCTGGTGCCTTACCCCCGTATTCACTTCCCCCTGGCCACCTATGCCCCTGTAATCTCTGCAGAGAAAGCTTACCATGAGCAGCTGTCTGTGTCCGAGATCACCAATGCTTGCTTTGAGCCAGCCAACCAGATGGTGAAATGTGACCCCAGACACGGTAAATACATGGCTTGCTGCCTGCTTTACCGTGGAGATGTGGTGCCAAAAGATGTCAATGCTGCCATCGCTGCCATCAAGACCAAACGCACTATCCAATTTGTTGACTGGTGCCCAACTGGGTTTAAGGTTGGTATCAACTATCAGCCACCAACAGCAGTTCCTGGTGGAGATCTGGCCAAGGTGCAGCGTGCCGTGTGCATGTTGAGCAACACCACAGCCATTGCTGAAGCCTGGGCTCGCCTGGACCACAAGTTTGATCTGATGTATGCCAAGCGTGCCTTTGTGCACTGGTACGTAGGTGAGGGTATGGAGGAAGGAGAGTTCTCTGAGGCTCGGGAAGACATGGCCGCCCTGGAGAAGGATTATGAAGAGGTTGGGATAGACTCTTATGAAGATGAGGATGAAGGAGAGGAATGAAGTGTCTTTTTATTGTTGAAATTTTAAGGTGCAATTCCCCTGTCCGTCACTTTGCAACAATAAAGATTTAAGCTAAAATTGTATGCTATGCCTATTACTTTTTTTTTTCATAAACATAAATAATGCTGGAGAATCTTCACAGTATCAGACTATTGGTAATACCTTACTCAATCTAAAACAAAGCAACGTAAGGGAGTTTAACGTCAAGTTTCTTTTTTGCATCCTTTGCACTGACGCTCAGGAGATTTACTAAAACTGGTGCCCTCAAAATCTGGTGCAGCATGGTAGCCAATCCGCTTCCAACTTCAGCTTGGCCAATTAAGCTTTGACAATAAAACCTGGAAGCTGGTTTCTTTACAGAATTGCACCAAATTTTGCACTCTCCAGTTTTAGTAAATCATGCCTTCAGTGTCAAGCACTGGAGGGTGTATGGTGATTTCCACCATGGGCTAGAAAAGTCCACTTAAAGGGGTTTTGGTGGTAGCCTTGATGAGAAGATTTTTTTGAAGTCCGCGGAAGTGCAAAAACGAAACCCGTAAGTGAACAAAAAACATGCTTGTGCAAAACCAACACAAAAAAGTGCACTTATGGGTGTGCTTTGTCCACCCCCCAAAGGGGTAGGACCTCTACCCTGATCCCCCGGGGCATGAAGCTCCTGACAGGGACTAAGGTTTCCATGTGGTCCACCTAGCCAAAAGGCCTGGCAGACCCCTTTCCTTGTGGCTAGCCTAAAAGGGGTAGTTGTATTTTTTTTGTCATAATTGTATTTTTTGTCATAATTTTTTGGAAAATTAAAAAATGCAAAAAAAAATTTTCACTATTTTTTTTTTTTACATACTGTCACCAGTGCAGTACAGCATCTTCATATAACTGGCATGGCGGTGATCAGGGACACTGACTGGTGACAGTATGAAAATTTTTTTTTTTTTTTTATTTTTAATTTTTTATTACATTGTTTGTTTTTCTTTTTTTAAGATTTTTTTTTTCATATTTCACTATGTCCAAAGTAGTACAATGTTACCATAGTAACATTGTACTACTTTGGGGAGGTGATCAGTTTTTTTTTTTTTTTTACACAATTTGCTTATAGCAAACAATTACTTTGCTATAAGCAAGCATTTACCTGAATGACATCGATTCATTGAGGTTTTTTTTTTTTTTTGTGCTTAGCTGTGATTTGGCCACAGCTAATCACATGACATGTGCATGTGATTAGCTGTGACCATTCACAGCTAGACAGTAGTATACAATGGATGGCATGAACGAAGCCATCCATTGTATACAAGTGTTATGTGACCTGCTGTGATTGGTCACAGCAGGTCTCACATGGTACCGGGAACAGGGCCGATACTCAGATCTGTCATCAGCCATGTCCGAGGTGCACGGCCGGTGACAGATCGCGCCGCTGCGTGGCTCTGCAAGCGCGAAAAGTGCGCATGTGCGGAAGGACACCATTTGGCGTCCAACCCGGAAATGCAGTACATTTTGCCGGCCGCCTTTTGGCTATTGGCTGGGCGTGTATTGGTTAAGGAACCATTTGCACAGACTTTTAGCCAGGCTGCGAATCCCATGAGCAAGAATCTGATACCTGTGGCTGGGATTGACAACTGTGTGTGAATAGAAGCAGCTATTCATGCCTGTTCACACAGCCAGCGATTATCCCCAGTGGTTAAGGCTGGACACACTTTTGCTAAATGCCCTTGTGAATGGTGCCTACCATAAGACAACCAGTGCACATACCAGTTGGTATCAAAAAGTTTGGAGACTCGTTTTGTAACACGCCAACAGATGGCAGCACAAGTCTGCAAGCACAGTCACAGCACCAACCTTCATAAGTCAGTGTGCCAAAAGACATCATCCTGTGTACATCGGGAGCTGTGCCACTGGTGTTATTCAGACCACGTGCGTTACCACATCTGCTATTTCATCATGGACAGCAAGTTAGAACAAAGAGCAAACGTGAAATTCTGCGTGAAACCCATACACCCAATGTTGAGGATTGTTCTCCGACAATCATCATGCACAGCTGCCGAATGGTTTTGACATTTTCAGGGGTTAAGCTCATTGAAGATCTTTCTCTTGTCGTCTTCCAGTGTTGTTCTTTCACTCTTCGCGGTGTTTTGAGTGGCACACACGCTCCCAATGACTCATTGCAGCATCACTGTAAACTTGCTGAATCATGTCAATTGTCTCTGTGGCAGGTTTGCCCAGTTTCACATTCGCTCTTTGTCCCAACTTGCTGTCCTTGGTGAAATAGCAGACGTGGTAATTCACCCAGGGTCAGAATAGCACCAGTTGCACAGCTCCTGATGTACATAAAAACAACATCTTTTGGCACACTGACTTAAGAAGGTCGGTGCACCTTGTGACTGTGCATGCAGCCTTGTGCTACCATCTGTTGGCTTGTTACAAAACTAGTCACAAAGCTTTTTGATACCACCTTGTATTTGTACATGATTACAGGTGATGGCTGTTTTGAGCCTTTCAAAGGACGCATGTCTTTTTCTGCCTTGTGCCTCTTGCTTTATACATTTGGCTGCTGCTTTTTATACATTGCATTTCCTCTCCTACTCTTTTATTGCTCTGTCCTGACTGGCTGCTAAAGAGCAAGTTTATCTTCCCTGACCATCCGCGGTGACCACATTCCTCGGAGGAAGTGATGAGGGCTTCCGGGTAAATCTACCGGTTTCTCTAGCCCTAGAAAACACATTGAATTCACTACAGCTCTTAAGTTATAGAGAAAAACAAGGACTTCCACCTCCTTCCCAAAAGCAAATACCTTTCCTTCTGAGCGATTAAAACACCAGGTACTTGCAGATATGTGGCCCACTCCATGTGATAGCGCTGGGCCAAGCACCAGCACTGTCACAAGGAGAAAGTCCATAGCCTGGTGTAAGCTGTGACTTGAGTGACATGTAGCTTACACAGGCAGCCAAATAGAGAGGCAGAGGAACAAAATGCTAAGAAAAAGCTTGCAGTGGTAGGGAGGGGGGGATTTAAGTGACCCTATTACTTTGACCTGCATGGGCAGAGCCAAGCCCACTTTAAGAGGCCTGGGCAAAGACAATGCCATAACTGTCCTTTTTTTTCTAAAAAGAAAAATGTTTTCTCCTAGGCTAACATGCTTATTTATTGGCTTTAAAACTGTGAATCAATGACATACTACTGTGCAGATCTAGAGGTTTCGTCTGACTTCACTTGTTGCCTGCTTGTTTTGGAAATGGAGCTTTATGGACATGGGGGAAAGCTGAGCCTATAGGCTTCTGTGACTATTACGTGTTATTTCAAGTTTTAAAGTCTAACAATAGGCCAAATAATAAAATTAGCACAAATAAAGGACATTACTTACTATTAATCCAACAAGTCCCTTGTGCTACTGGATTCCTTGCAATCTTTACCCTTCAACATCTCCGACACCCACTGCTGTAATGTCCTGGTGTGTTGGGGGTTAAAAAGAATTGGGGGAGTTGTGACAGACACTCATCAAGAGCGCCCAACTATGCCCACCCTTTCCACCCCGCCACAAGTACTGCTTCTGTGAATAAAACACAAACTATAAATGGAGGATGGGTGGATGCAGGGGTGTATTTACCACAAGGCAAACAAGGCATTTGCCTAGGGCGGCATTTTGCAGGGGGGCAGCCCCCTGGAAGAAGGGATGAAAGAAGGGACACATGCGGCATGGGGACCTGGTGGGTTCTGAGAGATGCTGGGGGTTTCATGACGGTGTATGCAGAGCCCGACTCTCGTTCCTGGGGATGTCCAGAGCTGTGAAGGTTAGTGTCTCTCTCTCACAATGGGGGATGGTGGCTGGTGTATGGGGGGGCAGTGGTAGCGGAAGGCAGGGGTGTTCTTTGTCAATGTCAGGCTCTTTCTGCAAGGGGGAGGGCACCAATTTTTGTGTTGCCTAGGGCAGCACAAAACCTAAATACACCGCTGGGTGGATGATTGAAAGGTCTGCTCCCTCCATTCAGAGATCCTGTTTTATTCATGGAAGCTGTAGTACAGCTTCTGTGAATGGAGGAGCTGGGCAAAAACAGCAGGCATAGTCGGGCACCCTTGATGACAGCCTCAGTTCTATCAATCCCACCGCACCGGGCAGGGGTGGACTGACAACTCATGGGGCCCCCCGGGCAATAGGGGATCATGGGGCCCCTGTGTCCTCACCCACACCCAAAAAAGCCTATGAAAAAGGTACCAGGGGCATCTCATGAGGCAGTGCCGAGTTCCCAAATGGTCAGTTTGCCCCTGGCACCGGGACATGACGGCAAGGGCCATCTCCAAGATACGTACTTTCCTCACCCCAGACACCACCAAACAACTCGTACACTCCATCATCATCTCACGCCTGGACTACTGGCACTCCCTTCTCACCGGCCTACCCAAACGAGCGCTATCCCCACTCCAGTCTATCCTAAACTCAGCGGCCAGACTCATCCACCTCACCAACCGCTCCACATCCGCCTCCCCCCCCCCCTCTGCCAATCCCTTCACTGGCTCCCGATTGCCCAACGCATCAAATTCAAATTACTAACTCTGACCTACAAAGCCATTCACAACACTGCCCCTAACTACCTAACTGACCTGATACCTAAATACCACCCTACCCGTGCCCTCCGCTCCTCACAAGACCTCCTACTCTCTAGCTCCCTGGTCTCCTCCTCCCACGCCCAACTGCAGGACTTCTCCAGGACCTCCCCCCATCCTCTGGAACTCCCTACCCCAATCCATCAGACTGTCACCTACCCTCCTCACCTTCAGGCGCTCCCTGAAAACCCATCTCTTCAGAGAAGCCTACCCCACCCTCACCTAACAACTGATCTCCTCCACTCCTCCTCCCACCACTCCATCCCCCACAGCCATTTCCTCCTGTACCACTTTCCCCTCCCTCCTAGATTGTAAGCTCAAAAGAGCAGGGCCCTCGATCCCCTCATGTATTGTATTGTTACTGTATTGTCTCATGTTCTGTCCCCCTTGCTATTGTAAAGCGCTGAACAAAC